AGAAGCCTCACAGTGTTGCCATGGTGATACTGTTGTAAACCAATGCGGAGGAATGAACTGATTATACATCTGTACTGGAATAAAATAAGATATGGACAATTTGTGAATGGTATTTATGTTTCAGACCAGATCCTGATCCTTGGTGCTCATGTGGAAAGTAATAAAAGTGAAAGTTATCTCGTATAAGAACGCTGTTGTCTAGAGCAGGCATCCCCAACCTCGGTCCTCGAGGCCCGCTGTCCTGCAGGTGTTAGAGGTTTCCTTGCTCTAGCACAGCTGATTTTAATTGAAAGCTAATTAACAGGCTTTTGGTCTACTGCAATCATAATAATCAGCTGTGCTAAAGCAGGGAAACCTCTAAAACCTTCAAGACAGCGGCCCTTGAGGACCGAGGTTAGGGATGCCTGCTCTAAAGCAAATGATCAGACAAACACAATGTAGTGCTGCGGTTTCTATTCTGAGATTAGAGTAAATTCAAGTTTGTTTTTTTCTAGTCTTAGACACTAAGATTGATAAAGAGATAGAGCAACGCCCCCCCTTACCACATCTTTCTGGGCAAGTTAACACCATGTCTCTATGTATTTCTTTTTTAATACTTTTTTTTAAATGCTTTTTTGAAGCACTTTGAGGCCTTTTTGGTGAAAAGTGCATTATAAATTAAATGAATTATTATTATTTTGTAAAGAGGTGCTGACAGTTTTAATAAGGAGGCTGGGTTCCTGACAAAGATTTAACGCATGGAGAGTTTTAGTTTGAATTGAAAGACCTTTAATGGAAGATAAAAATCAATGTCTCACTATAAAACGCAGCATGGGTCAAAGCTATACTAAAATATTTTTCTATAAGACTTTAATTCATTTCACAACATAAAAACCAGCTGATTGCATCACTCATTGACTTGACAGCAATCCCTCACACTGAGCATGCTTGTAGCGACAGTGGAGAGGAAAAACTCCCTTTTAACAGGAAGAAACCTCCAGCAGAACCAGGCTCAGTGTGAGCGGCCATCTGCTGAGGCTGAATGGAGATTAATGGAGGGCAGAGGAGCCCCCATGATCCTCTCTGCT